TGCTATCCTATAACCTAGAGTGTGTGTTTGGAAAGGGTCCAACAAGGTGGGTGTAGTTATTCCAGGGCTGTATCCACCCTACTGCCACTGACCCATTAACTTTCTTGCATGTATGACCACACTGACTGATTGCAGTGTGAACACATACCCACAGCCTACACCTAAAGCAAACAATATGAAAAGGTACGAGGAAAAATAAAGCAAAAGAGGGTTGCAAAAATAAATGGTAAGGGCAAGGAAATTAACAGCACAAATATTGAATCAGGGATAAAATAGTTTATCCATGTATTAAAAACAGCTCCAGCGAACAAGGAAAATACTTGAAGAATACCTTCCCACCTACAGGATATGTGTTTGGTTGCAAATGTCTAAGTGAGAAAACAGAAACTTGCATGCCAGTGTATTCGAGTAACATTTCTTTCTGCAAGGGAGGTGTAACAGTTTCTCCCACCTGTCTATGTGGGTGTGTGTCTATATACATCAAGATGTACATGGTCTCCAGACTACAGGTCACATTGAGCCATGCCGCATTCCCGCCAGTCAGCACGGCAACTGAAATTGTCACGTGGTGGGAAGGGAAAAACTTCCTAGACCAAGGTTTGCAAGGAGGAGATGGTCCCACTAGTGCTGGGGATCTGGCTCATGTGCCAGAATAGACCAAAATCACAGCAGGTGCAAAGGTTTTGTCCCATCCCTGAATGCATCTGTCAAGTGGCAGTCTCCAGGTATGGTGGGACTGACTGAGCCCAGGGATCTGTGGCTATTTGCCCTGAAAAGCAACCAGGCCAGCGTACTCCCACCTTCCCCTCATCACAGCATCCAGGCTATTGTCCTTCACAGCAGCTCCATGACCACCAGGGTATTCTAGGAAGCCTTTTCATGCAACACTGGTTCCTGGAAGAATACTGCTTGTGATGGCGTAACTCTGGAGTGTCCTGAAGGGAACAAGTCACTTAAATCACCTCCTATCTGGATGAGGAAACAGCCAATTGGCATTGGAAAATGTATTTGCAATGCCTCATCCTTCCCTGGGGCACTGCTCATTTCTCCCTAATTGTTGCCTTAATTTACTGAAAGCATTTAGGGTCGAAACCCTGGCTGCTGTTAAGACATTGCACACTGCAGATCACAGTGCCAAGTAGAGCTGTCCGACTCTCACCTCTCGCTGCAAAACCAGAGATGCTCTGCTTGTGCCAAGGGAGGACCAGAGCCACTCACGCGGTCCAGCCCCAGCCCAAATTCTCGTAGGCAGCCCCAACTCTCACAGGCTCATAGTGACCGCTGAGCCAAGTGAGACTGAACAACGGGTTCAAAATGTACAAAAAGTGGTAGCATCATCTACAGTGCCACACCTACTACCACTCCTTGCAGCCCTTCCCTCTCGCTTATTTCCATTGTCATGGATTTATCCCTTCAGGGTGCAGTGGAGCCTCTGTGTCGTGCAAAATCTGTGCAGGACTAAGCACGGTGTGCATCATCTCCCCCCAGCAAGTGGGAGTGGGATGCCCCACCCAGGACTTCCCCAGGCTTTAACCCAGCACCAGCAATCCCTCAGGACTTCAAGGGCATGATGGGAGCTACTTAGGAAATCTTGGCAATTAGTACAACCACTAACAGACACCCTTCCTGAAACATCAAGGGAAAATTGAAACAATTAATAATGTTATTAAACAGTCAGAAACCTAAAAATTTCATTGGAGAGTGAATAGCATGGCTGGCTGGTTGGCTGCTCCCAGGGCAGTCACTCTCCTGTGTATGCCAAGTGCTGCTACTAGCCATGGGTCACTGTGGTGCTGCATGCAGCCACAGGACAGCGTAAAAACAAGGTCCAGGCTTCCAGGTCATGCCTCTGGGCACCCCATGGCAGGGTGCTGCAGCTGGTCAGCACTGCCCAACCCTGTGAGCCATCACTAACATTGCACCCACCTGGCTATCCCCTCAACCAGAAAAGGCTCAAATTCACTAAGCACTTCGCTATCATGGAGTCCTTCTCCTTTGATAAATTTGTTTTCAGGCTATGAATGCACATGCAAGTGTCCATTAAGGTTTCTGTGGTTAGAGCACAAGCCTCTGGCAGCCTAGGTCTGCATGGTGCCTCAAGGAGGAGCCTCCTTTTTGTGGCACTGCAGGATTTAAACATGGAGGCAGAAGGTCAAAGCAGTTTCCAATTATAGATGGTGGTGACCATGAAACTAGCCCCTAGGTCACAGGAAATCCATCTGTCTGCCCAGACGGGATGGTCACTGACACTAGATTGAGTCACTGGAGGTTTTGTCTAGCTGAGTCTTGAAAACCTCCATGGCCAGAGACTCTGCTGCCTGTACAGGCAACTAACCTCCTGGTGACATTTTTTCCCCCAATGGCCTGCTTGAAAGTCCTAAGATAGACTGTGCCTGGTGCCTTGTTTAGTACTGGCCATTTCTATGCTGCCTCTGTAACTCCTTTCAAAGGCTTATTGGGTCAGCCTGAGCCTTCATTGTCTCCAACCAGCCTACATCCCTCAGCCTCTCCTCCTAGGCCCCTGCCATCCTGGAATCCTTGAATCAGATCAGTTTCCTACACCCCTCTTGAATTTGGGGGTCCAGCACTGGAAAAAAACACTCCAGGTAGAGCCACTGACTATGTCAGGACTCTGAGAGCACCACTGGGACTGGCTGTCCCTGCCCCAACTCACAGGGATTTTCCCCCTCCTCCCTGCCCATGGCCTAGGACCCCATTTCAGATTTCACAAGAGAGTTGCTGACCTTTCCTTTTTGATGTTAAAGTATCTAGAAAAACTTGCCTTAGAAAGGGCACTGAAACACTCAGCCCAACCACCATCTGCCTAAAGCCAGAGGGTATTGCTTTACAGTCTAAAGTAGTTTGTTCTGTCCTCAAGAAGGACAACATTTTCAGGAATGTTGTCTTCTTCAATCCTTTCCAATAAAAAGTCATGTGGTACACACTTGATTTTTAGGGGAAAAAACCTGGTTCTCCTGGAAAGGGTTCTACCACTGACCTGAGGTCACCCCAGATTTTTCTCCAAAACCAAGTGAACTGCAGACACCACACCATTTGCTGTGGATAAGTGCCCATATTGTGCAACTTCCCTCTACACCTCTCAGATCCCTAAAATGAAGGGTTGCTGCTGCTCTTCTGCTGAAGAGCACCCCGAACATGGATTAGTATCCATTTATTCCAAATTTCATGTTTTCTTTCTGTGCCAGACTAGGTCAGAGCCACTCTTCTGGCAAGCTGCGTCACAGGACTTCTTTCTTTTAAAACTCCTCACTGCTTGCAAGATCATGTAATTGTGTGTGCATGTGGGACACTCTTGCAATGCATTTAAGGTCTCTGAAGGGTCAACAGAGGGCACTGAGTCAAATTCCTCAAAAATTTCAAATATACCAAACTTGGCAGAACAATCTACTAAACTTATTTATTGCATCTACTTTAAATAATTATCACCTGGGCAAACATACCATCCTTAATGATGCTATACAAACTTTCAGTGACTCCTTGTCAATGACAACAGGGACATCTAAAAGTTTTAATGTGTATTTCCTTATCTAATCAGTCAAATTATGGTTTAAGGTTCAACTGAAACTATAATTTCCTTTGGCTTTGTTCCTTGTAAAGGTATATGAGACATTGTTTACCTTAGAATACAATACTCCTGGACCTTGTTTATACAACACATTTTTCTAATGCTTCCCACCATTAATTCAAATATTCTTACTTAAATCTTCCTGAGTGTCATTGTGAGCCTTCCTGTGAACCATGCACCTGCTTCTTCTACTCTTTAAAAGTATGACATGGTATGGCCATGCCTGATGATGAACAAGGTGCTGAAAAACCATTGTGTTTGAGAATGAGGTAGGTGCAGGAAAGACTCATTACAGCCAGCACTGGGGAGGTGAGAGAATCATGGAATGGTTTGTGTTGAAAGGTACCTTAAAGATCATCTAGTTCCAAACAGCCTGCCAGGAGCAGGGACACCTTCCACTAGACCAGGCTGCTCAGAGCTCCATCCAACCTGACCTTGAATAGTGCCAGGGATGGGGCATCCACAACTTCACTGGGAAACCTGTTCAGTGAAGATTTCTTTCCATCTATCTAATCCGTTCTTACAGTTTGCACCCGTAATTCCTCATCCTATCACTGCAGTTCCTGATGAAGAGTCCCTCTCTGGCTTCCCTTCAGATAGTCGAAGATCGCCATGCAAACTTCTCCAGGCTGAACAGCCCCAACTTTCTCAGCCTGTACTCAAACAGCAGGTGCTCAAGTCCCCTTATCAATTTTGTGGCTTCCTGGACTTGCTTCAATGGTTGCATGTTCTTCCTATGCCAGGAGCACCAGAGCTGCATGCAGCACCACAGGTAGGGTCTCACACAGCAGAGTACAGGGACAGAATCACCTCCCTCCACCTGCTGGCCATGCTCTTTTAGATGCACTCCAGGATTTGTTTGGCTTTCTGGGCTACCAGCCCACACTGCTGGCTCATGTTGAGTTTCTGGTCAGCCACCACCCCTAAGTCCTTCTCCACAAGGCTGCTGTCAATCATGTCTCTACCCAACTTGTAGGCATGCCTGGGATCAAATCCATGTCTCCAGTTTAAAGACAAGAATGTAATGCAGGACAGCGTCTAATGCTTTGCACAAGCCCAGGTAGAAAACGTATAGATACTGCACTGTGCTTCTGTGAGATGTGCACACAGAAGTGTATTTTTGCTGGAATGCGAGTGGAAACATGTGCCCAAGACTCTTCTCTAATAATACCTCACCTAAACTGAGCAAAAACTCCACACAAGCACACTGCTGTAATTCTCACAAAAGGTTAACTCACCATCCGCCCAGGTAAACCAAGGTCTTGGAGTTGGCCATGATCTTCAGCCACCTTACAAAGTCCACCACATCTGAGCCACAACTTGTCAAACACAGCTTATTCATTAGTCTCACATTGCTTTTTTTATTGTGTGTGTGTGTGATCTAAAATATGTGCAAATAAAAAAATTCAGCCACTGAGCTTTGGACAGAATTTTATTTTGGAAATCTCCTCCTTTTTGTTATCATCTTCAGTCACATTTTGGATGATCCCATATGAATGGTTTACCAGAAGTGCACTGCTTTGCCAAACAGTGATTGCAGTTTTTCTTGTAGCCCTGGCCCCACCAGCAGACATGGCCAAACTCTGTGTACATGAGGAGTGGAATTCTGCCATAAAATGAACCCTACTTGGCAATCTTTTCTTCCCATGGGAACTGGAGGAAAATTTACTTCTGTTCCCACTTTCAAGCATTTATGAGAGAATTTACAGCCCTGGTTTATACTCATCTGCCTTAAAGTGAACATCACCAAGTAAAGTGCTGCTCACGCCTTCTACACACCTTCCACTTCCGAACAAACGCCTCCTAAACCTTGACCTCCAACAGTGACTGTAATAAAGAAATGTCCGTTTTGAGATAGTCCAGGTTTCCAAATGGTTTATTAGGAAATGGGACAACAGCCAAATTAACCAGAGAGCCTGGCCCTTCTACTGGTGTTTGCACGAAAGCAGCCATGGCTTACAGCTGGCTGAGTGTTAATAACAAGGGCAAATAAATGAGGATTCATTAATTTTCCATCATGTATGAAGATCTAAGGAGACTTGATGTCCCCAGAAATGCACGGTTCCTGGCTGTCATGTCTGCAGACCTAAGAGGGATGCTAGGTCCCTGTGTCAAGTCCCAGCTTCCCAGGCAACTGGACGTGTCCCACCCTACCACTGCTGCCACCCAGAGAGCTCCCCAGGTGCAGAGACCCATGGTGGCAGGGAGGGAAGACACTAAGAGCATTCTGCCCTCTCCCCCACCACAAATGCAGCTCCCCTCTTTGATGAGAAGACTTGAGAGCACACTGAGGGGAGAGGCAAAGGCTTTGCCCCTCTTGGGACATGGTTGCCAGATGTGGTGAGCTAGCATGGCAGGGAATGGAGCAAATGGCTCTTGGCCTCTTCTGTGAGATCATGACTCTTCTTATTCAAAGAAGAAAAAGGCCCAACAGTATACTCCAGCAGTATTTCCATGCATAAGTCTATTTTACATTTGACACAGCGCAGATCTGCCAGCCATGACAGACCTGACAGGTTCTGGTACAGACGCTCACAGAAATGTGTCCTTAGGTTTTCTGCACATGCCAGAACTGTGACTCACCTTCTGTCATTACAAGGTGACAGAGACAACCTGGCAAGCCCAGAGCAAACACGTGATATCACCAGCATGATGCATACATTTATAAGTATCATTAAATTTCTTAATTAAGATTCCAACGGAAGAATTTACAAGGAGAAAAAAAAGAAATGGGCAGAGGAATGAAGCTCATACCTTACAAATGATGATTCGTGAGACATTCACCAAATTGACACCTGAACACGGAGTCATCACTGATGCAAAATTTAGCAGATACCAGTGATCTGGTTGATCACATCACATCACATCACATCACATCACATCACATCACATGAATGGGAATAAGCATCATCCAAAGATGTAGAAAGAACATAGCTTGAGATACTCCCTTTTACCAAAATGGAGTTTTGGTAAAGCAATTAAAGCAATTGTCAACTTGAGTAGGGATGGGGAATGTGTTGAACATGGATGTTCCAAGTGAAAGCAGGTTGCCTGTTGAATCGTCCCAAAATTAGTTTGACCCACACAAAGCAGGAATGTTGATCAAAATCCTCTTCTGGGTAAAGGTTTAAAGGAAAGAACAGCAACCTTACAGTGATTAACATGTCAGGAATGGGTAAGGAAAAACTCTAGATGTCAAATACAAATGGCAAGTTAAAAGGTGTATTGACTGATAGAGGAAGCTGAATTAATGAAAGTCTCCACAGCCTAACAAGTGGACATAGTGGGCATAGAACCATTTCAAGTGACAGAAAGTCAGGAACAGCAGAGCAGGAATAACAGCTGCCTTCAGTATCTAATTCTGATTGCTCTTCTATTTTGGGATAGGTCCTTTCATGGAAAAATACTGATACAAAAGCACCTTCCACAACCACCATCTTCACTTTCAGCATTCCCCAAACTGGGAAAGCTCCACAGCCACAGGGTGTGAAGAGGAGGAGTGGTTGATAAGCCTCTGGCCCTGATTTTCACAATACTGACTCAGAGTTGACCAGCTCCCTCCGAGTCATTGCCACCACCAGTAAAGATGTGACCAACGTGATTCTGCAAGTCAGCAGGTGAGCAGTAAGCAGGGGTTAGCAGCTTGGTGGCTGACGTGTTCAGAGGCTGGTGGGGACTGAGGATGTCGTCATGAGACAGGCTAGAGAGGGGCAGCATGGCACTGTGACCCCTCCAGCAGCTATCATTCCTTCTTCTCTGCTGGGACCTGCACCAGCTGGGGTGCAGTTGTGTGCAGCAGCATGAGCCCGCAGACTGTCATGGTGAGGCCGACCCACCACAGAGCCGTCCATGTCTCCCTGAAGAGCAGTTTTCCCAGGATAGCCTGAAGGAAAAGAGAGACACAAAGCTTTGTTGGGCCAAGCTACCTCAAGGCATCTTGTGCTGCCAGAGCTGTGAGGACTTCTGGGAGAGACAGCCCTGGAAAAAACCTGGTTGAGGAAACTCCTACTGGGATGATCAACAGGAATGGCTGCTGAAGGAGATGCTGGCAATGACCAACTCCACCACCAGTCTGGAAGCACAGCCATACTGTGGTCCCAAAGCAGGATTTGGCAGATGCACATGTGCTTTGCTGCCTTCCCAGCACTTCTCAGGAGCCAAATCTCCCACTGACTGGGCGTTTATTATTATTGTCAATTATTGGACACCATCATGAGCTGTCTGCCAGCTGGAGCACAGAAAAAGGTGGACTGCTGCCAAAAGTGAAAAGCAAGTAGAAAAAACCCGTGGGTCAAACACTCTTGCTGTCACTAGAGGTGATGCATCTTCACACCCAGCTAGGGTGACTCCGGCTGGTCACAAGTGAAGTGCTGCAAAGGAAAAGCAAAATGAAGCAAAGCTCCAGCTCCCACTGGCAATCAGAAAAGTTCAGTAAACCGTGTTGCTGCTGCATGGCTGCTGCAGCAAACTGCCTTGCTGCTGCATGTCACCCTTCCTCCCGCACCACCCAGGAAAGTTCCACCACTTGTGCCATGAACAACTATCAGAGCAGCTGAGGCCTGACACAATAATTTCACATCTGCCTCTAACTCTTCCTTTGTGGCCAGCAAAGCTGGCTGCACTGGGAGATGAGCAACAACCAGCGTGAGCATTCCCACCTTGCTGTGCTCCTCAGGCTTCAGTGTCTGGGGAAGGGGTCTACTCACGGAAGAGATGAAGTTGGAGGCTGTTGTTGTCACAGAGGCAGCAGCTGAGGAGGAGGAGAGTCGTAAGGCTTTTGTGAAGACTGCCCACATCACTGCATTGCACACAAACACCAGGCCAACACAGGTGAGGCGAAGCAACACTGGCAGCTGCAGGACAAAACAGAAAACTCTGTGTATTTTCACCCTCCACATATTCAACCTCAATAATTCATGGGCACTTTGGATCCAAACCTAATGGTGTGGGCTTTTAAAACTGAATTGCAGCTGGTATTACACAGAGATGAATATATTAAATCACAGAAGGAAATGGAAACAAGGAAACAGCTCTGGACAGACTCTGAGCCTGCCATGTCCTGCTGCAAGCCCAGCTTCACACTACAAGCTGAGAAGTGCTGGGATAATGTGCAGCAGCTGCCATGCCAGAAGCCAATCTGCAGAAAGCTCTCCAGCTCACAACGTGGTGCCACATGCAATGCCCATAAATGCCCTTTACTTACCACTTGATGTAGGGAAAAGGGTCAAATTCAGTCTGACAAACACCAGACATGTATATGCTGGCACTGTGTGTGCTCCAGAACCCAACTGCTGTGAATGTGAGCCAAGACCTGGGTGGTCCTAAAGCACTCGTCCTTATGAGTTCCCAGGACCTGGCCTGCCCTATTGCTGCAGTGAGGGCAGAGCAGGATCTCTGGGAGGAAAGGAAGAGCTGAATGGCTTCATGCCTTGTTTTGCACACTCATTGGAGAGTAGAGAGGTTTACTGAGGGGTCTCTGCTCTAGCATTTAGTAGCAATAAAACTATTTCTGAATTCAAGGGCCTCAAGAAAGATCTCCTTCCTTAGACAACCTGACCAGATGTGTAACTGCCTCAGTCTGAAAAAAGGGCACAGTTGCACCTGAAAAGCCAGCACCATTCAGTGCTCCCCACCCCTTCCTAGTTTAAGCAGCTGGTTTAAGCCCCAGCCCCTGGGTACCATGTAGTTGATGTGAAGACACCAAGGCAGATCACAGGCAGGCAGATCACAACTCTCACAGTGACAAGTGAAAGAAAAGCTTTGTCTAAGCCCGTAGCAATCACACCTTCATAGCTTGTCACCTTTCAGTCCACGGTGGGATCCATCTTGAGGCAGACAGAAATGCAGGTTTGAAGCCACCAGGTACAGCTCAGAGGTGGCACCTGCCCTGTGGGAATGACTGCAGTGTCCTCCTGCCAGCTGCCCAAATCAATGGGGTCCACCAACTGTGTTCTGCTCCCACTCAGAAGAAATTACTAATTGCAAGAAGTGGGGAATCTCACAGTTTTCTGAAACAAGTGATATGGCAAGTACAAAGTTAAAAAGAAAACAATGTAAAGCAAATCCATGCTTGATGGCTGGCACAAGCTTTCCGAGGCTAATCCCACTCCAGTAAGGGATGCTGCAGGTGTGTCTTCATTTTGCCCCACTTGCGGCAAAGGTCTCCAACTTTTGCAACTGATCAGGGCAACAGTAAAGATTCAGAATAATTCCCACTAGTGAATCACTTTGCTTTCCCACTGACACCCTGACAAACCCTGTGTGGATGCGTAAAAGGAACAGCCATGTCCAGCTACTACTGCTCCTCTGAGGAAGAAAATTTCTGCTGTGTTAGGGCTCACCACAGGATAGGGTTTACCTCCCAGTTTCACCCTCTGCCTGTATGACCTGGCAGTTTTACTTTCCTTGGGGAGTTCTGTACATCCACACACCTCTAGTGAGTAAGCAGACTTGGGAGTAGGGATGAGAGGGGAAAACAATTCTCTGTGTTTCACCTAACTTCAGTGTATCTCTGGATCAGAAAGAGACCATTCTACTGAGGCAAAAAAAAAGCCTTTAAGAAATCTTGTTACAGTCTTCAACCATGAGCCAGAGGGCGTACAGGAATGGAGCTCAGGCTCTCCTCCAAGGTCCAGCTGGATATAACGAGGCAACAAGTGAAGTTTGGAACAAATGAAATCTGTTATGAGGAAAAGCAAAGATGATCAAGCACTGGAACAGAGGTCATGGGCTCTCCAACCTTCTAAGTATTTAAAACTTAACTGGAGAAGGTGATGTGCATGCAAAGCTTGGACTCGAGACCTCCACAGATCTTGCCAGACTTGAGCTAGTCTGAGACTACCAGAGGTGAAGCAAAGCTGGCTCCCACCATCACAGCAACTCTCCCACCTTCAAAAGTGAGCCGGAACCCATGGCTTCTTCTGAACTCCTAATGCAGACCCAGGGAAATCAGCTGCAGGTGGCACATGCACAGAAGGAAAGTTTGTCAGAGAAAGGTCAAGTTTCTCTATGCCCAGGGCAGCAGAGTGGTCATCGCAATGTTATGCAGACAGAGAGATAGGAACATCCCCACGTGTTCCTCACAAGGAAGGACGGACATAAATTCTTCCCCTGCTGAGGGCTCAGCTGAGCCACCCCAATGAGTCAAGGATTACTGTTCTGATTGCTTTTCTAAGCAAAGATTAATTTCAGTGTACATTTCAGATAATCCAGAATCACTCCTGAAGTAGCAGAATTAATTTTAGATGAAGATTGGCAGGGGAGCAGAGAAAGCAAAGAACTTTTGTTCAAGTGCAATGACCCTTCCTGGTCAAGTTGCTCTCAGGCTGGGCCACCCCAACACATCCTTCTGGCCAGGAAATACATCCCTACCGTGCCCTTGAGTATCCTGCTACCCTGCATCATCAGCTCTTAGAAATGTCAATACAGTTTTTGCTGCCGTGTTCCATGCTGCACAAGTGATAGCTGCTATTACACTTATTTTGGGATTTCTGTAGCTCTTCCTCCAACACAAAACTCCTTGAATCTCTGTCACCTCGTGGATGCTCTGCAGAAATGCTTTTGCCACGTGTGTGCACTGAGATATTTATGGATCTACAGTCCCGTGCAGTTTAAGCTACTAGGAAGATTATGGCATTTACATAAAACTTAGCTAGTTTTGCAGCTAAGCTGATTAATTTGTCACCTGGAATGGACTTGAAAACTGAAAGAAACCAATCTGCCCAGAAAAGAGTCATGGAATCACAGCATGGTTGAGGTTGAAAGGGATCTCCAAAGCTCATCTGGTGGAACCTCATCACTCCAGCAGATTGCGCAGGTCCATGTCCAGACAGTATCTGAGTATCTCCAAGGATGGAGACTCTACCACACCCCTGAGCAACCTGGGCCAGTGTCTGGTCACCCTCAAAGTGAAAAGGTGTTTCTGGATGTTCACAGAGAACTGCCCGTTTCAGCATGTGCCCTTGGCCTCTGCTCCTGTTACTAGGCATCACTGGAATGAGCCTAGCTCCATCCTTTGTGAGCCCTCCCTGCAGGTATTTCTACACATCTATAAGATCCCCCTGAACCTTCTCTTCTCCAGGAGGAACAGCCCCAACTCTCTCAGCGTCTCTTCACATAAATTATGCTCATTGCCTTTATGAGCCTTTGCTGGACTCTCCAGTAGTTCCATCTCTTTTTTTTGCAGTGGAGAGCTCAGAACTGAACCCAGAATTCCCGGTGTGGCCTCATTGGGGCTGAGTAGAGGGGAGAAATAATCTCTCTTGACCTTCTGGCAACACCTCACACCAATGATGTGATACTTTGTCATAGCACATTAAAAAAAGAAGCACCAACTTCCCTCCCCTCACCCCCACACAAATGGGCAGTATTTTTATAAATTTGAACACAGAAAAATACTCAGAAAAGATGCTGTCAGCATTTTCAGTAATTCCATGCTCTGCCACTCTCTCAGTACAGTGCACAATTTGGGTTCTTTTGGGCAGAGTGAAGAGCACCAGGATTTTTTATTTCTCCTGAGATATCAGAAAAGAACAATAGGATTAGCAGGTACTGATTTTTTTGCCTTTTAAACCCTCTCTAATAATCGATTTCTGGTTTTTTTTCCCTGGTGCAAGGCTGGATTTGTTTCAGATCTAGTTTCCCTCGTGGGTTCCCATTAGGATTTCAAATCCAAATGTACATTTGCCACGTGGGTAACAACCTACGCCTAAATGAATCTCCCCAAAGTGCTTTTAGGATACATGTATGCTGCCTTTCTCCTCTCCCCACTCACGCACAACTTCGTGCCCATCTCCACCTCTGCAGTGGCGTGCCAGAGGTGATTCCTGGAGGTAAGGACACTACATCTGCGGTGAAGGGCCAGCAGTCCCATGTAAGCTCAGGCACACCGAGGTTTGTGAAACACGACCGAGATAAAGACCATCACCAACGAACACCCAAAGAGAAGTGGAAATCAAGGGCTCCACCGCTCTGCTCTAGTTAGGGCCGAGCAAAGACAGAATAAAAGGCAGAAGGGCTCTGCTATCAGCAAAACAGTGCGCTGAGAACAAGCACTTGATGCTTAATCATGCTAACATCCTGCTTTAAAGTAACACTGATGCAGAAGGACGGAAAATGGGCTCCCAGAGTTGGGCTTGGTTCGGGGCATTCCCGTACCACGCTCGCTCTCTTCACACCCATCAGCCTCGCTGCGCTCTTCCCGCTGTTTACGTCGGCACCGCGCATTAGTCAGCCCTGCAGGGCTAGGCTCCCCCAGAGATGAGTCACGGCTCCGCTCTCCGAGACCGCCCCCCCTCCGTGCAAATCCAGAGCAGCCCCTGGGAGCGGAGGAAGAAGCAGCGCGCTTGATCCCTTCCACCGCCGCGAGGAGCACCGCGTGCCGCCTGCGGGGCGGCCGCACGCGAATTCGGGGCGCCCAGCACTGCCTGCCCTCCTTCCTTACCGGGCCGCCAGCTGCCTCCCCGCCCGCGCCCAGCGCCAGCTTCGCCGCGGCCGCCGCCGCCGCCCCCAGGCTCCCCGCTGCCGCTGCCGCCGCCGCCGCCCCGGCCCCCGCCCGCATGGCCTGGCCTGGCCTGGCCTGGCCCGGCCCGGCCCGGCCCTCACAGCGCCAGCGCCGCCCCGCGTACGGGCGGGCCCCACCCGGGGAAGGGCACGTGGGCCGTGTTAGCTTATGTACAGAAGCTTTATTGAAACAAACGGAAAAGCATGGAGTCAGAGGACAACGCTGCTTCTCCTGTGGACACATACAACACAGAAAAAGGATAGCACATGAAAACAGCCCAGAAAGAGGAAACGAACACTTGGAAACCTAGAACATGGCAGTAACAAATAAAAGCACCCTTGATTAAGCCACTTGGACTGTGTGCTCATCATCCGTCCTAGTTCTGACCTTTACTCATACCCTAACACCTCTTCCCTTTAAATACTTCACATCTCAAGTGGGAACAAATCCGCAACTTAAAAATTCATAGACAAGGTGGTAGAAATTCTTCTTCCTCTCAGCCAAGTAATATAGAAAGTCTTCAGATATATGCTGCCCTTTACTAGACACATCTTTCCTCTTTATTCCCTTTTGCCACAGTGCTTGTGGTCAAAACTAGTATTGTATGAATTAGCCAGAAAACAGAACGATAGGATTGTGGCAGTAAAGAAAAAACTAGTTTGATATTGCTAAAAAAATCAACATTTCCTGTTGCACTAACAAACATTTCAGTTATTCGTAATAAATCTTTAAGTGCGATTAAATGAACTTATGCTGTACTCCTAAAATGCTCTGCATATTTTCACATCTTCTTTCCTAACATTTTTCAATTCTTTGATAAGAAAATGGTTGCAAAATACTTAGAATTTCCTACAGTGCTACTATAGAAGCACTATATAATGTAAGTCTATACTAACAGAAAAAAGGTTTGAAAAGCATTTTATTTTCAAATAATGAAAGAACAGAAACTAAAAATATAAGCCCATTACTAAATTCACATTTATGCTTTATTGAAAAAAGTTCAACATGAAAATTATTTTTAAGCAACCCAGGAAAATCATCTTATGTTTAATTAAAGAAATAAACACAAAGGAGTTGTGCTTTTTGAATTTTGGCTCTGATGGAAAATGTAGCATTTCGGGAACCTGAATAAAAGCACAAAAGGAGACAAAAGTCCAGGTGTGTTCCCAGTGACAAAGCTTCTCCTTGGCAAGAAGTTTCAAGGAGGTATCTACCTAGCACCTATACAAAATCAGTTTTTTACACTGAAAAATTACAAAAAGGTGTTAAAATGTCATTGAAAGCTTCCCACAGAGCTGGAATAACAATCTTCACTTAGAGTTATTACCAGCAAAATATCTACAAACTAAAATACTTGATTATTCCATAACCACAGCAACAGTCAAATTTGACAATTGACTTTTGCTGATTCTGTACATTTGAAAAATATGGCTCTGGAGTTTTATTTGGGTCATTACAGCTGATCACGATGTCTACAAATGTTACGTTTTTTTGATTCTTTCAAAAAAGCATTTTCAACTCGTAGTTTTTCAGTCTCCTGTAAAACAGACAAAAAACATGGGACATATTATGGAAATTATCCTAACTTTTTTTTTTAATTTTTACACAAGCAGTATCTAGAGTTATTCAAGTTTTTTATACACTATATACTTGAGGAAATAAAATTGAGATGCTTGTCTGCAGTTTGTGAGGAGACACACCAGCCATGAGATACTCAGCTGCATAAAATCAAAGGTATCTTTGTTCCTCTCAAACAGAAGAGCAGGAATTCAAGTTTTCATTCTCAAAGCTTAACTCTTTCCTATGTCAGGCCATTACTTCATCTGTAATGTACTCTGCAACTTACCTCTGTAAGTTTAGCATTATCTTTCTTCAGTCTTACAAGATACTGAATCTTCTGGTTTAGGTTTTGATGACCAAGTAATTTCCCATTCTCCTCAGCAAGCGACTCAACTTGCTTCCTCAAGAATTGTATTTCCTGCAATAATAAAGACACTGTGTACCTCTCAGCAGTAGCCTCTCCTTCTCTTTTCAGAAGCAATAGCTTCTAAGAGCTATTAACGTACTAACATTTAAGTTTGTTTTAACACAGGATGCAAGAGTTGGTTCATTCAGGAAATACATGTTTGTCTTATGTCTCCTCAGACACTGTGTTAGATCCCTCTGAAGGGCAAAAAAAGAGCACTATTTGATTTGTACTACTAAGTGATTTCTGTATCCAAACTTTCACTAGTGCAAAGAACATAAATACAACTGAACTGCAAAACAAAACAGCTGTGCATCTGCTAAATAAGATTCTGCTGTGAAGATGACAGAAAAATTATGTATATGTAACCTTTCCAATCTTGTCTCTTTCTTCATATGCTTCCTCCAGTTTTGATCTCATTTCTTCTTTCTCATTAAATGCTTTGAGCTCCAAAGTCCTTGTTCGTTCCATCTCCAGAGTCATTTCATGACAGGTATTCTCCCGGATTCTGAGGATATTTTTGGTCTCTTCTAATCTGCCAATATAAAAGAATCATAAAACATGAAAAACCAACACAGATGTCATACAACTGAATTACTAAGTCAGTCCTGGACATGGAGAGAGGCTCCTTTAAAAGCATTATTTTGAGATATTGTGCTAAAGAAAGGAAAAATTTCATTATGTTTCACAGTTCTTGTGTTTGATACTATCAACTAGGCAATGTTTTGGAGCTGCTCTTCTCTTTGGGAACTGTGCTGTTTGCAATCCAGGATATACAACTCCACTCATGATTGAAAACATGAAGCTTCACCTACAAGAACACTTTGCATTAATTCACCTAAGGAATGTAAATTTTCCAGCTAAACTCAGCTGCACTTCAGGTTTCCTCTAAAATGCTTGTTTGTCTCTGGCTTTTTCCCCAACAGCCTTGTTGCTCAGAAACATGTCTGAGCAGTTCATATGGTCTGAATCTGTTTGGTTGGCCTGGTAACAGAATGAGTACCACTTTGGTTAGAATTAAAACATTTTCAGCGGATGAGATCACAGGATATTAAACAATGCCATCAAACTCAGCAGCCTGTCTATTGTTTTTATAAACTTAAATTCTGTAATTTTGCAGATCAATTCAAATATTGCATACATTAAGTTTTTGTCATCAGTTTTGTTTTATTGAAGCATGGTGTTGAAGATCTGCTCTGTGAACGGTATTCATTTGCTGCATTTGTCAAGACAACTTCTTGATAAGAAAAGAATATTTTCCCTCTTTGTCCATTATTTGCTTGTATGATGCATTGTAGCACTGCTATAAAGTGCATTTTGGAGACCAGACAGGAATGCCAGATCAGTGCATCAAATAGCAAAAGAATCCCTAATTTCCAGACTAGGGTTTCTGGAAAATTTAATGTAAATTACTTTTGAAATGACTGTGTGCATAAGAACAATTTTCCTCCTTAAAAGAAGTTACTTACATAGAAAGCATTATGTCAAATGTATATAACTCTCATGTTAGGAGATTCAGCCACAATAAATCCTGAAGCAATACACATTAGGAACAGAATAGCAGCACAAACATTTTTAAACTAATTTTTATCTACTGATTCAGTATTTTCTTTCTTCACTATTATCCATTCAAGGTACAAAACACTTGAATTTAGAGGACTACCTGCCCAACAGTGCAAACGCAATTTAGAAATCCTCTAATAATAAAAATTTTTCAAGGTGAACCACAGAAATTTAAACAGATAGGATAAAACCCAAATAATTACATTATGTTTAAAATTATAAAACATTTACAATATTAATAAATAAATGAACATTGTTTCAATTTAATTTGAAAAGGAATGCAATTACAATTCACTGCATATAAATAACTTAAAACGTTTAAAAACATCCCTTTCAATTTAGGTTTTTATGGTTCTGCCCAATAAAGTATTGTTCTTATATAATGCTAGGTAGTAATAGGTGCTACTACCACCTACTGATGAGAAAAAGTAGGAACTCAAGATATCTTGCTCTTGGACTGCTGTTGCTTAAATATAACTATTTTTCCGTCATTAATTAGTTTAATACTAGTTTCCAGTTCAAAGAACAATAGTTAGACTTACTCTGCTTTGATTTTCAGCATTTCTTCCACTGCTTTATTCTGTGAAAGTTCAAAAACATTAGATGCAGTATTAATGTTTAACATACACACATATATGTTTAAAAATATGTCGCTTAATTGATGTTACATATCTCATTCCAGATCGTCCTACTACCCAGTAGTTCACATCTCTAATACTCACTTTAAGTTCATCTTTTTGCTGTAGGCACATATTTCCCATTTCATGCCAGCACAGCTGGCCGACAACAGTGCCTCTCTGCCCACTCACACAAGGCAGAGGTCTAACAGGGGGCCTCTTCTGTCTGGGACATTCATGGAAGCCTCTGCTGTGGCATTAACTTCCCTTTGACATTAGCAAGTGACACAGTCTTCACTTTCCAACTCTGAGGATGAGTCAGATTTAGCAACCTGAATCTGTTTTTGCTAATTGTGCAATCTGACACCCAGTTCACTGGTGTTAGGCCAAGATTGAAATCCTAAGAGCTAAGTGTCAGGCTATGCCAGTTAGAATTCACTAGAAATTGGTGTTTGTTTTGCTGCCATGAAAACAAAACAAAAAAAACCCCACACATTAATACTTCACAGAAGATCAACAGCAACTGACACGAGGATAATATACCTTGGCAAGTAGCTCTTCAGCAGTCTCTTCCTCTTTCTCTTTAAGGTACTGAACATCAGGATGTTTCTGATCACTAGGAAATTCAAGAATGAGAAAAAAAGTTTCTCACTAACAGAGGAAGCCAGTTGTAAAAACGTTACCCAGATTAAACCAGTAAATGTGTGCAGATGTTTTCACACGTATTCATACTCAAAATATTGAGCATCATGAAACTCTGGAAGGGATTAAACTTCTAAACACAGTTTCTTTCATCAGACTATAGAGAAATTAATGTTTTATTGGAAACAATTACAGATGTAATAAATATGCAACCATTGTTAGACAGCTGTGCTGATTTTGGCTGGGGT